TTAATCCAGAGTGCCTCGAGAGTTTTTCGCGCCTGTGTTCTTGATTCGCGTGCGAGGATCGTGACACGTACTTCAAAGTCGTCCCCGTTATGTCTCTGGGTCCTATGCGTGCCTAGCGGGGTATTTGGTCTATTTTTGCCGGCTAGGTGTTCTTTCATGCGGACACAGAGGGGTCTACCCGTTTCGCCAATGTATTCGTCACCACACGTCTTACAGGAGATCAGATAAACTATACCCGAGCTCATGCAATCACCGTCTCTACCACTGGGGCAAATTATGCAATTTTGAGTTGCACATAGACGGTCATATAGGCGGTTACGAACTAGCTGGCACTTAAGATTACTCCGTGGTATTTCAACTACGCTCACCGAATTCTCTAAGCCCGTCCTTCTTAAGCAGCGTTTTATAGCTGTGCTTATATCATTTGAGATGAAGGGTAGGATAAACGGGACCCTTCTATCGTTAGAGTTGTCGTTTGGAGGCCTACGATTTCCTCTACACCTATTCTGAGCTACAGTTTCGTAGCCATTAGAAACGGCTATTTGCCTATATTCATTTAATGAACAGATCGCTGACTAGGTGTCCACTGATTTGTGCTCACCCTTGGGTTTGAACTTATCGCTTTTTCTGTCATTTATATGTTAATTAGTTATTTTGTCAGTGTGAAAATTGGAATTTGAGAAGCTCTAGGCATAATCTACATATTTCGACGTCATAATCAAACATGAAACTTCCACAAGTTTCTGAAAAATTGCCTTCACGATGATCCTCTTAGCTAACTCTACTGGGTTAGTTTTCAGCTGACTGGGAAGGGTTTTTCCGTGGAACGTTGAGATGACTTGTGAAATTGTTTCAGTAGTTCTGTGTGTGGCACGTTCGCTCGGCAAGCGATCGGAATGAGATTTACTACTTCGAGACTAGATTTTCTCCGGAAAGGATTCCTGAAGTACATTTACAGCTAAAATTACATTTAGTAATATTGAACTAGTTCTCGGCGACATTGCTGAGATGCTGCCCTAATAAGAATTTTAAAATCAGGAAGCACATGATCGCCAAGAACAAATAAACCACTGGGGAGTTCCATACTTATGGCAGAAAGCGTAATAGTTTGTGAGAATTACTTAAGAGTTTCTAAAGCAGCCTTCAACATTAACAGCAAGAATGTGTGAGAATGTTTACATAAAACATTTTATTCTAACTGAATGTCACAAAAAAGTGTTCATTTGAAAGTGGGACAAAATCTATCAAATGAAAACCCATTGGCACGGAAAAGCCATGATTACGGAATATTACTATTGCTGCGCTCGTTCACTTCGACTAGTTACAGTGGAGCCAGATGAACATCTTCCTGACGAATTTGGCCTGCGCCGACCTGCTCATCCTGATATTCTGCCTGCCTCCGACAGTGATCAATGACGTGACGAAGACGTTCTGGTTCTCGGAGCTCTTCTGTAAATCCATACTCTTTTTTCAGGTAGACTATAATAAATTATATCGCACTTGTTCACATCAGCGTTACAATATTACTGGTTTTAACGCTTTTTTATAGTATTATGGCAGTAAGTGATTTATAAGGAATTCTAATAGAGTAGGGAGAACAGACTGAACTAAGACAATATTCCACTTTATTTTTATTCTGCTTCATCTTTTTCCATGTGCCATAGATTCCGTTTTTTATGAGGAATATAAGTCCTACTATATCACTGAGACTTTTTTAAAGATTTAGAAATTTATCAAGTAGTTATATCTTTCGAACAGCTTCTGTTAAGTTAGTATCCCCTTCACACGGCTTTGCCATGGCATTAGGTTATTTCTGGCGCCATAACAGTCCATTCTTTTTACTCCGATTTTTTAAGTGCGTCATAAATCTTCTTTTGGCAATTTAACTCGGTCACAACGGGTCTTCATCACGTGAGTGGCATCTAATCGCTTAATGGCGAGACTAAGTGGAGCGTCGAAAGATGAAATCGAGTTAAAGACGGAGGAAGAGCGACTATATACGTATCTTAAGAGATAAGCAGATTTATAGGATAGGTTATTTGCTTCTAATGTGACCAATTCAGTTACATATTTCACCTGCATTCGACCAACTGCTTACAAGCGGGGTAGGGAAGAGAAATTCGTACTAAATGCTTAGTAACACGGAAACGCACTAGGTTAATCTCTAAGAGAGATGGTTAAGCTTTAAATAGATATACCTCCTCCCCAAAGGCACCATTGGATGAGTTTCTTATGAGAACGTCGTCACCAAAGATCGAAGAAGATGAAGAGGTTCGGAGCGAATGGAACTCTCTAGATAGCTCTGATGTCCGATAGTAATGAACTAGAACTCGGTTTTCGTCGGGCATTGGTCCTTTCGGTATAAAGGTGCATTTAGGTGGAGAGCATTAACTTCATCGACTGAAGATTTATACCTGCGCACCACTTAACACTTGAATAATTGACGTGATTGATGTCAATCGGTAATCGGAGGGCATTTTGCAGGAATTTCGTTAAATTTCACGTCTTCATAGTTGTTTCTCCAAAAAACTAATACCACATTAGTGCGTCAAAGGATTGACTAAATTCTATTTCGAACTAAACACCAGTCCAATTGCATTCATTAGCATGAAGAGAAAGAGACGCACACATCCACACACGTGCACACCCACACACACGCTAATGCACTGGTGGAATCAACGGCAGCCACAGACGGACTCTAGGACTTCAACGTGGTGTACTTCTTCCACAACACGTGCCAAAAGATGTTCAATTGCTGGTTGTGGATTTCAGAAAAAACGTACAATTATTTGACAAATGAATAATGTCATCGTCAATGAAATTATGAAGAATGGAGTATTTTCGACTTGGTGTGCATTCCCAGGTCACTCCTGAAAACGTTTTCAGTTGAAAAATATCGAGCCAGTGCTGCTATCCTCCCAGACAACCCTGGTACCAATTTTCCGACCTCGAAGACATAGAAGGCTTGGTGGGCCATGGGCGCGGGGATCGACTTCACGTGTGTGTCGCAGTGGCGTCTTTGACCACTGCGCCACACGCGCCTTCATTCAAACTATTCAGTACAGATATCTCTTTCAAAGGCTTTCTCGTTTAATGTGGATAACGAGAAAGCTTTCTCTTGCTTAGTACAATTTTTCATGCGATTGTCAACAGAAATTTTCACGTCATGCTTTCAGGTGGCGTTTCTTTTCGAGTATTCCTCCAGGCGCAACTTGTCATAGATCTGACGTTGAAAGAAATTTATCGTTCGATATCAGACTAAGGAATCATCACTGTAGGGCCTGGGGGAATTCAGTCAAAATTACTTTCGGATTAAATTCGTTGTTTCTAACTGAATGCTTAATTTTCTACATGTCGCTTGATTGAAGAGAAAAACCTAAATTCCGAGGAAAGGCGGCTCAGTTTTCATTCAACTAACAACTATCTACATGCATTCGACGTAATGTGAGACTGTTTTTGCTGTTTGGTACAGCTGTAGCCCTTTCGTTCTTTTTTTCCAAATGGTTCTCGCTACGTTAGTATAAATAAAAAGATAAAGCTCTCGGCGTTGATCAATCCCTGAGGGACGCGCCATGCATTTGACTTCATTAAGCATCGTTTGGAGGTGACTGAATGCATATCTGGCCTTTACAATGACTGGCGGTGACCTAACGATATGTCGAGCCAGTACTGCTATCCTCCCAGACAAGTCTGGTACCAATTGACCAACGCCGCAGAGATGGAAGGGTTGGTGGGCCATGGAGGCGGATATCGATTCTACGTGTAGTGTTGCAGGGCACCTCCGACCACTGCGCCACACGCGCCCACTTTCTATGTGCCGTTATACGTTAGTAAGGAGCGAAAATATTTGAAAAACTGTACTGTGGTATAGTTTACTGTTAAATGTCAAAAACGATTGTGGTGCTCTACTTCGGTGTTATAAGTGCAGTGTTCTCGTTGGTTATTCACTTAGTGCTTAGAGTAGTTCTTAAGAATCATAACCTTCGTTTCCAATATCCTCACAGAAATCTTACTAATTCAGATTATTCCTATCGTCTGTTGAACACGAAGTGTAGAGTACTTCTACAAATTCAACAAGCATATTCTTCTGTGCGTGCGAGTGAATGAGCCGCACTTGGTGAGAAATTCGTCCTACTCCGAACGAGCTCATTATCATGGCGGTTTCCGCGAAGTCAACCACTTAATTGGCATCGTTCCGCTTCTTTGCCCAAATATTAGACGTAATACTATGGATTCGTCCTTTGGAATCCGAATGATTAGTGGATCAAGCACTATGTTGTGAGGAGAAATTCTAGTAAAAATCGTGAATGCAATCATAACGAGGAACTCCAGTGTGGCTCTACACAACTACTGCATAAACCCATTCACGACGATATGACATATATATGTAGGTCACACGAAGAGAACTTGATCGTTAAAATTTAGAATTTTGATTTGAGGTCAAATTAAACCTGTTAATTTGTTCTGTTAATGGTCTCTTCCTTAATTTAATAAATGATAGTTCAATATTTTAGCCCAATAAATGAATGTTATTTAGCGAATAAGAGAGATTTTTAGTGACTAAGATCCATTATGATCCACAGAGTTTTAAAATATAAAACTGCGCCAAGCGTCACATTTTTCATTGCTAGACGATGGAAATCAGGAATTTCTCCTTTCAAGCTCTTCTTATCGCGTTTGTCTCGAACTGCGGAAGACTGAAGTAATGAGGTTTCGTCAAAAGAAACTATAGAAAAAAATCACTGCCCACGGAATTTTCCTTCGTATTGGTGACATTCTAAGATTTAAAAGATAGCGCTGTTGATATCCTGGCCCAAATTAGACGGCTAACGAATAGGATTAACCTTCAAGAATCTTCTATTTTTCGAGCAGCTCCTGTTTTCAAATTCTGAAGCACTTCGGTTATCGAAAAACCGTTCTTTTCGAATCACGAAGAAGCTTGCGAGCCTCAGCACACAATTTACATTCTTCATGTAATTATCATTTTCTGTTTGTGCAATATTTTCATACCTCGGAGTCTGGGGACACGTGCTAGTGTTTCATCATGATGGCTGTTAGGGAGCAAAGGAAGTCTTACCACTAGTGACTATTTCACAGTCACGACTGGAGTGATCTCTAGCACTCGGTTTCCTTTAGCTGGGCTTCTAAAGTTGATAGTTAAAGTCCTTAAGCGGCTTGGAAAACCTTGCTGGAGGACGAATCGCAGCTGCGTATTGCAGTTCGATACCTAGGAGCATCTCACAGCTACGACAAGTCTTGCAGAACGTTAACGTTATATATATATATATATAAATATACATATGTATACGTATATGTATATATCTGTGCGTGTAGAGCAGTGGTTAGAGGGGTTCTGCAATACACATGGATCCAGTTCCGCACCTTAGGCTCACCAAGCCTATTTCGATCCCTCCAAGGTCTGCAGATTGGTTCCAGAGCTGCCTGGGAGTATGGCAGCACTGGTTCGATATGTCGCTAATCCACTACGAATAGAAGTCCAGATATGCATTCAATCACCTCGAACGATCTTCAATGAAATTGAATGCATGGCGCATCCTTTAGGAATTTAGCATGGAGAGCTTTGTCCGTCTATCTATACGCGTATATAAATGTGCTCTATTTCTCGCAGAATTTTGTGTCTACTTGGTAGCAATTATTTTGTTGGAAACTTAATTAACACTTACATTCATATTGTTGACTGTGAAAAGGTCAGCGAGAAATGCGTGTTTGACTTTAATAGGTAGTTTCGTAACCAAATTTAGTGACGGCGTAACATGATTTATAAAAGCCTAAATATTCCTAAATATTTAGTTCTAGAGATTTCATGCATTCCTTGAAGGGGAATTTTTCAATGGTTTGGCAAATTTACAGCCGTTGAACGAAGTAATCCGATAATCCTCGCTTCCCACTGATGCGATGGACCATTTAAGGTGCAAGGTGCACGCAAAGAACGAGCGCTATCGTCACATTCCATGTGCATTCGATTGGGGACCGTCAATGATAGTGCATTGTCGTTAGTGTTAGGAAGCAATTTGGTGTGGATTACATGGAAGTTTTTCTTCAAACTTTATGGTTGGCACTAATGACTTGTGTTTCGCAGAAAATAGAATACGACTAGGGATAGAAGATTGAATATCGAATTCATTGGGGAAAGGCTGCAAACGCGTTCTTCACTCTAAAACTTAACTCGCTTAAATCACTCGATTAAATCAAGAACAAATCTGTGAAGGTTAAGATTATTTAGTTGTCTCAGATGTTTTTAATAAAGCCAAACTGTTACCGTAGCAAAAAATTCCCCTGTTTTCGCTTTCTGATATAGAAAGGGACTGACGTTTCTATATGGTGATACCCTGAAAAGAATAAACGAAGAACGCCAACCCTTCTCCGCTTATTAATCTCTCTAAGATTTACCATGGATTCCACTCTATTAAGCACCTTTGAGGTGGTTCAGTAAATATTTGGCCTACAGAATGAGTCGCGGTGGCGTACCGGTTACCAAATCAGTGCATTCATCTTCCCAGACAGTCCGGTACCAATTTCTGGACGCCAGAGAAGCCTTGGTTCGTACGATGCATGTGATCGAATCAACGACTTCGTGTGTATTGCAGAGTACCTCTAATCACTACACATATCCCTGGTGGTTTATGATCACAGCAGTTCCTGAAAATGATATGCAAGAACTGAGGAGTGTAGCATATTATATCTCGAAATTTGACAAGATCTTGAAAGGATTTCAGGCCTGGTAGTGGTGTAAGCAGAACGAGGACAAGCACAAAAACCAGTTTTAGTGAATGACGACAATCCGTCCGACATCATACGGTTGTTTATTTGGATAACTAGTTCACCTGTTCCCTTCTTTCCGGGTGTCGCACACCTCGGATTCGCTTCGTTGTCTAGCAACAGCAATGCACGGATGCGATCGAGCTTCGTCTGTAACTTGAACCTCTGCCATCTTCTCGCGTTAACATGTTGAATACTAGTTGAGAGCGACTTTTTCTAGAAATTGAGAACGTCAGCACAGACAGCTGCCCGCTATAATTCATTGAAGGGATATTAGCTCCCTTATGGGTCGGAATTACTCCAAGACATAATGACGGCAGCGAGCCCTGTCCTTAATCAACTCTTCGCTCGTAAACGATGTAGGAAGCCAAGTCGAAAGCGTTTCGCGTGGAAAAATCGGACAATTGAACTTAACACTATTAATGTGACCTAGGTGATCAACAGTACATCAGGAAAAATAAATTCGAATAAATGGAATACTGCTAAAACATCAGACTATCCACTTCACTCTTAATTCCGATGGTGACGCAATTGGTATTCGTTCTTACCATCGACAACGATGTGGTCTCATGGAATGTTTCGGTCTTTCCTTTCATACCAAAGTTGTTTCATAATTGAGAACGTTGAATTAATTTAAACAATTCCAGTTTCATTGTTAGAGACAACGCCCCAAATTCCGGTGACAAAATCCTTTTAGTCAAGCAGCATCAAAGAGAAAATGGGATTAGATTAGCAGAAAAGTCATAAGTGTGCTTATGAGCGCTTGTTCGACAATGTTTCCGCTTTTCTTTGGATATTTTATTGTGTAATATAAAAGCGCCATTATTTCCTCAAGTACTATTCATTTATCGCATACGCAGATGATTTGCGAGATTGCTTCTCACAGATCGAGAAGATCCTATAAATTCAGGTAGAGAATAAAAAGTGAAAGAAAGCGTCTCTCTATGTAGATGATTTATGAGGCCACTCTAAAGGAATGGGAGAAAAGAGGCAGAGCAGGAAAAACTGTAGAAATAAAGGGCTGAGGAAGTAAAGGAAACGGTTTCAAGACTATTCCTGCAGAAGAATCTTTCAAGGATTATGCCAGATGCCAAGAACAAAAGTTTGAAAAAACTTGGAAAAGCAGTGGTATACGAGGCGAAAAAACGTGATTACTTTGTTTCTCATCGTTCTGAGGTTAGAATTTCGTTTTTCAGAATACAAGTGTCTATGTGAGTGTGCTGTCTTTAATGTTCATAACGTTCGAACGTTGGCGAGCCATCACATGTCCATTGAAAAGTCCACTTAAGGCCACTCGATACATCATTGCCGGTCAGTACTACTTAATTCTTCCTTAACCTACTTTTCATTCTAGTAATAGAAGCAAACAGTAACTTGTTGTGTTCTGCTGAATTACCAAAATCTCTTCTTAGCTCACCAATGAGTTAAAAGTATACAAGATAGCGATTTAAATAAATGCCACGGGGATTTATAATCTTATGAAATATTCACGCTTCTAACTATCTAAGCCATTGAAATATGACTAAAATGTCCAAGATTTGTCTAAAAAATTGTCAAGTGAGAATTAAACAAATTATGTACTTGGGCACTTAAATGGCCCGTCCTCGCTGGTTGTGCGGACCACAGCATATTCTCCACTTTTTCTGAGTTCTGCTGGTTTAGCCATTGTGGTTCCCTGGAGTCCCGAAGTCAGCCTGGCCAAAGTCTGCCCCAGGTCTTCACAGTCGCAGCACTTGAGAATCACAGGGAGATTTGCCACCGTGTGACTAATTTGATACCAGGGCGGTGGTGGATCTTGATGCTGGTATTAAACAAATTGAATAAATCAAATTACATCAGCCTTACTTAGTCAACTTTTCCTTTTCCTTAGGACGTGCTTCTTCTCTCACTTTAGCCTCGCCATTTACCGAAATTTCGAGGAAGAAGTCTCATTTTAAAAATTCGATTCTTGTAACATGAATATGAAATGCTTCATAAGTTTGACAATAACAACTGATTGTACATTACAAAATGTGTGAAGTAGCAATCAAACATATACGAAATTCGGGTGTTTCTAATAAACTCTTCATTGGCCCCTTTCGAGCGAAATTCGTTTAGGTACGTGGGTTGCGGCAATGATCATGTCGTCACCAGAACCCTTCACTCTTCACCTGAAGAGAGCCGAATTTCGTAGACCGAACTTCTCAACGACGGTAGGTATTGAAAAAATAAATAACGGAGTTCTTAGCTTTCTCTGCCGGACTTTTGACTTGCTGCACATTGTCGCGTGCTGGTGTCTCATTTATAAATTCGCCATTGAGTAGATAATTTGTCTCAACGCTGATTTATGACAGCAGTTAAAGGTTGCGAAGGATGTTTTATTTCTTGATGACGTACAAGTTATAAGCTAATCAAAGGCTTGAAATCCCCAACGGCTTTCGGGTAAGTGATGAACGGGAACGCATAAGTTTTCCCTGCTGTATAGCGCGCTCTTCGCTGGGGTTAGGCTGAACGGTTCTCATTGGTCTTAGAAACACTTTAGCTGATATTTATTCCAGATTATATTACGTACTAGTCAGTTTGCGCACTCATTGCTTCTAGTACTTTATTTTTTTTAGTCCAATCCCGGTACAGCTTCATTTGTTCATTATTTAATGACAAGATCTTTTTGGCCGTATTTAATCTCAGGTTGAATGAGAAAGTCCCGTAAGCCCTTCAGTGTCTCAAAAAAAAATACCGACTGTAGTATGTCCTCCAATTGTTGTTCCTTTTTTTCTTACTGACCGACCACTCCCTTTCCTTTGTGGTTGGACAGCTAAGATCATTCCATATGCAGGCATTATTGCAAAACTGGTATTTGCTGAAGTCTCACATATGTAAGTGAACAATGGCCGACGGAAATGAAAGATAACACTTAAATCTGTCCACGAGCAAGACAAGGGTTTAAAAGCCGGCAAAACTGTGAAAAAATCGTCCTCCAACGATTCTTTTACGTATACTAAATGAACAAAAACGTCTGACTCCACCATTTGTTGCAGTGGGGCACTCGATGCATCGCTTCGTGGTCAAGTGAGACCGAGCAGCAGTACCAGATAGTGCTGACGCTTTGCGCCTACTTGTCGCCGTTGCTGTTCATTTCCGTGCTCTGCCTTCACATGAGGCGAACTCTGAACCGATGTGAACTGACGTAAGCTCATTACATATTCTTAGATTATCTATGAACATCACGTAAATAACACGTCAAAAGAATTAGTGCAGCGGCACAGGCGCAGTGGTCAGAGGTGCTATACAATGCACATGTCTTTGGTCCAATCATACGCCCTAATCAACTTTTCCCTCTCTCCTCTCTAGAATCGACAAATTAGAAGCAGACTTGTCTGGCATGATAAGAACACTGATTTGATAGATCCACAGGCTGCCACAAGTCATTGTATAGACCAAATATGAATCCGGTCACCTCTACTGTGCTGAATGGAGTTAAGTGCATAGCACAATCCTTAGGGATCGATCAATACCGAACGCTTTATCCTTTTACGCCTTTAACACCATCTGAACACTGATAAGAAAACAAAAAAAGTTGAAAATGGAATAAACAATCTTATGACATGTTCCCTTTAATGTTCTGCAAGCATAAACCAAAAAAGTTGGCCATCTTGTCTTCTTCTCATGTTTATTAAAATTACATCGTTAGTCATTTCGCCTTCGTCGGTAATGCACCTCCTAAGAAAAAAGCACAGATGAAAATTAACTGTTCAAGAGCACATTGCTTGCTTGGATATTTGGCCCATCATCACGGTTGTGCGGGCCCCGGCATAATCTTCACTCTTCGGAGATGCTGGTTTAGCTACTGTGGTTCACTGGAGTCCCGAAGACAGCCTAGCCAAAAGTCTAGTCCAGCTCATCGCCATCACAGGCAGTCACAACCCTTGTGGATCAGAGAGAGGTTTGCCACCATGCGCCAAATTTAATGCCAGGATGCTAGTGGATTCTAGTATCTGTTTACTCTTAGCTGGGCTTCCTGATCGATACGCCAGACTTCTTCTCAGCTGGGTAGACTCTGCTGTGGCTGAATTCGCCCGCTGTACATCGCAGCCCGACAACCAGGAACACCTCCCAGCCACTATGAGGTGGTAAACCATTGGGGGGGGGGGGGGGGAAGAGAGTAGCATTAACAATTAGTAAAATGATGTTACTATTTTCCCCTAGATGTTACAAGAATAACTAGCCAGCGCGGTATATGGTCATAGGGAATAATTCTTTAGAAGCCCAAATATTTGATGAAGTGATGTCCTCTATAGAAATCCTCTAATATTTTTTCGCGCCCTTATTACTAGTAATAAATTACGATTTATTTGCAATCTCTGTCAACTCGTTAGGGGACAATTGACGACAGTGACATTAAGTGGTTTCCAGGATTGGAAAAAGGCAGTTGGCAAATCGAAAGAAAGCCGTTCGAATGCTTATGGCAGTCGTGTGCGTGTTCGCTTTGTCATATTTTCCGGTTCATTTACATAATATTGCAGCGTAAGTTAGTACTTAAGAACGCGTTATCGTGATCACGTTAATTTTCGTTGCAGAACCTTCGACTTGCTCAGTCGAGACTCCGATATCAACTGGATTTACGTTCGTAAGCTTCTGCCGCGAGTATTCAGTTATTCATCAAGCTGTTTGAATCCACTGCTTTACAACTTCATGTGCAGTAAGTTTTCCATCACCATGTCGCTATAAAATGAAGCGCTTAGGTCTTAAAGAAGTAGAAACGAAAACATTGTTCATTGCTAACAAAATGAATCAACGAACGACCAGCACAACACTAAACCGGTTACTTTCTGTTCATTATGGGCGCATGTAGCGCTGTGGTCGGAGGCGCCCTGCAACACACACGTAGAATCGGTCCTTGCGCCCATGGCTCACCAAATCTTCCATCCCTCCAGGTTTGGCAAATTGGTACCAGAGTTGTCTGGGAGGATAGAGGCACTGGCTGGATACATCGGTAGGCCACCGCAAGTCATTTTAAACGCCAGATATGCATTCAATCACGTCCAAATGTTGCTTAATGAAGTCGAATGCATGGCGCATCCCTCAGGGATTGATCAACGCCGAGAGCTTTATCATTTACCTTTTTTACTTTCTGTTCATTAATAACACTAACAAACTTAGGTGTGTTCGTTGTTGTCTAATCTCGTTGCCTTTTGAACAATTTGACGATGGGTGTAATTGATTAAATATTTGGTCAATATTACTGTTCTTTATTGCGCTTTTCCAATTAGCAAACAGGAGATTAAACACGGGCAAAAAGCACGGAATTACATTGAAAAACATTCGTTCAAGTAAACATCACTTTAAGACACGTCAGCACGATATCGCCTCGCAAAACGGGTAATTTCAAGAAAAACTGTAATAGAATACAGCAACATCTCTACTCTATTTATGATGTCGTTCCTATATCGTTTTCTTTTAAATGACCCATCTTCACATTTACTGTGCAGGAACCCAGAATTCATTTCATTCCATTCCTTTCCTCGAATCCATCACCCACGAACGTCTTTCAACTTTCCACATGTGGGTTCATATTCTCCGTCGAGTCTTCGGTACCAGTTCCCCGATTCTGGATGATGGCAGGTTTGGTGAATCTGGTGCGATGCTCGTGATGACCGGCATCATTATCAATGCGTTACTCACATCCTGTTGTTCGTAAAGCATCAATCGTTAGCCAAACGGAAACAACGACGGGTGATTTCAACTGTGGCATTGTCAAACGATTGTTCCTTTGTTGAATGTCAAGAAAACTACGCTCACGATAAACAAATCAGTTTCCTATGCTATGCTTAAAGGAGTATCAAAGACATAGTGAAGAAAGCAAGGAACCACGGACACCGTGCTTAGCTTTTGGACTCTACGACTCTTCCTGTCCGTACGTGTAGAACACGTGGATACTGTTTGCTATGTAAGCGGATTGAAAGACCACCTAGCGTTACTGAACGCGCTACTGATAAGGAGAAGATAAAGTATTCCGCACCACGCAAGTGAGAGAGAGAGAAAATCTGAAGTTGCACTACTCCACTGACCAAAGATCGGGGACGTGGCCAAGCATGTCGAGATGTTGAAAATCGGATGGGGCGAGCATGTAATGCGTCTTAACAAGCGGTGTAAAACAGCTGTTAACGATTGGGTCTAATGGAACGTTAGGCACACGATAGTAAGCCTCACAAATTGACTGTTCAGAATTACTAATGAAGCCAAAAAATATATACTCTCCAAATTGGTGAACCAAGCAAAAACCATTTGGCGAATTTGGCTCTTGAGGACAATACTAGGATATTGCTGAATGGTTAGCGGTGTTACTCGATAGTATATGAGTAATAAATGGTCTTTCCATTTCTTCGAAAATTCTAGCACATAGATTCCTTCAGCCATTATTGAATAGTAGAGAGCAGAAAGCACAGTGGTAGTGGTGCCGGTCTTCACGAGCACGGTGCTGGTTCGACCCCGCACCGTGCTCGCAAATACTCTGATCCATCTGGAACCGGAAATTTGGTAGCGGACTTGTCCACGAAGAAATTATTCTCTGCAATTCAAGTGGGAACGCTCTAGCCGTGCTGTCTCGGGATTCTTGGAAGAATCAACTCAATCAGCATTCAACCATATTAATGCTGGAAGGAAAACTCTAGAGCAGCGCTCGAATCCACACGTAAAAACCTGTAAAAACTTCGTGGATGTTGGATGCGAGGAAGCGAATTGAATACGAATCTCACTGTTATTCTGTCAAACTGAGGTCTGCACTGTCTTTCAGAGGCCCTTTCAAGTCCTTAAATTCATCGGGAACTCAGAAACCGTCCCAACCTGAAATACTACAAGATGTTCCCACTTGTTCGTTTTGTATTATAAGACACACAAACTTTCTTGGCTTAAAACACTGATTTACTTTCTTTCAACGCAAGAAGACAAAACACTTTATGTACACGTACGAGTCCCGTCAGCAGTAGTACACAGTTCTTCCACATGTGATACAAGAACAGAACAATTCGTTTAAAAACACACGTACGCACCCACGCCAACATCACTATAAAAAGGTTGTTGGTAAGATTTTCATTATTAGATTTGAAAACGAATGTATCCGTCTTTTTGTGCTGATTAGGACTGACATCGACTATGAAATTTGAGGCGAACTTTGAGACCATTACATCTTCTATTCGTCACCTAGCACACAGAGGAAACCGGGTTAAAGAGTATTACCATAAAAGATCGATATATTTTGCGGGATTTTCAGATTCTACCTACTACACACATTCTAAAAAATCGATTTCGTCGAGTACATTATGCCACATCGACTACTAAAAAATTACAGCTCTTTGATGTCGGCTACTTTCAGGTCGTTTCCGTAAAGAATTCGCCCGAGTTGTTTGCTGCAATGTTGGCGTAGCCGGAAGGCGTAGAAGCGACATCTACAACTCTCAGCGTAAAGGCCCTACCTCCGAACGACTGATACACTTCTCGGAGAAAACGCGGGTGCTGCCGCCACGGCACTCCATACTTTAGCTACGGAACAAGGCTTCGACTCCTCTCTGGTGCAGAGGTTCAGTGGTTCGTCGTTTTCCTCCAGCTTAATTTCTATCCTCATATTAGGTTCGCTGGAAAAAGATGTCGGCGAAAGCATGGAGACCGGAGGCTTTTCTAGAAGGGAAGCTATTGAAGCGTGTCGTTCGCGGAACGATCGCATAGGCGGCGATACATCGATGTTAGAGATAGTTGATGGAAGCGGAATGCACGAGGGCACAGAAGATGTTCGTAAGCGATCGTTGTGCCACATTCGAAGTGTGCGAATGTCGGCCAGGAGTGATGGCGAAACAGCTAGTGTGGCAGGTCCACCAACACGGGCCATTAGCCACCACAGACGTTCTGCTAGACGAGTCGAGAGCGACGGAAGTGGTAACAGTAGGTCTTGCTGGCAAACTACCAATGAAGCTAGCAGTGAAGTACAACCAGGTGGCAGGGAGCGAAGGCGGTAAGAAAGATGGACAAGAGAATGTGCCAGAAGCGGTGACGTAGAAATGGTTACTTCAGGGTGACCACTCTCTGATGCTGATGCCAGAAGTAGTACGTCGAACACGCAACTCTGAAAACCACGCAGATCAGTTTGTTCTCAGTATACGGGTAGTTGGCGCTGTTAATCAGCGCTACATTGTGATAATTGTTGCACATAATCACTTTTGTTACGTGATAAATATTCGTGCTAAATGGTTTTGCATGTGGCGTTCTTTCTAATATATTTACAACCTTCGGTCTAGTATTAGTAAAACCTTCAATGTAAAGTTTACGTTAATTTGACCAACAATCACGTATAAGAAAGTGGAAAAGAAAGAAGGAGAAACAAATGTCATAAAGCCTCTTTTCCTACTATCAACCACGCGTTGTGACTACTACAATACTTTGGAGTATCTATTGAGTTCTCCCTACCAACTGTTTACCGCCTCGTCGTGGCTGGTAGGTGTTCCTGTGTGTAGGACTGTGATGTACAGCGGGGATTCATCCCTCCAGCAGAGTCTCTCGAACTGAGAAGGAGTCCGGCGTTTCCATTAGGAAGCCTAACTAAGAGTAAACCAATACCACTGTCTTGGTATCGAAGTCGCATGGTGGCAAATCTCCCTCTGATTCACAAGAGCCGCAACTACCTGTGGTGGTGAAGACCTGGAGCAGACTTTGACAGGGCTGACCTCAGGATTCCAGGGAATCACAATGGCTTAGCCAGCAAATCTCCGGAAGATGGAGATTATGCTGGGGCCCACACAACTAGTGAAGATGGGCCGTTCACGTATTAAGTATCAAGTAAGTATCGAGACCTCATGTGAATCAAAACAGATTTTATTCACTACCCATAATTTGTACGTAATTTCAACACTGTAGAATTCATAATACTCGGCGGTGTATAAAGTCAACTACAGATTATGATACAACTACTGGAAAACATGATAACAAGCATTCAAAAAAGTATGTCGAAAGAAAAAAAAATAACCTTGAGAAGCTGGATACGATCACTTTGCGATAAGCAGAGAAATCCTGGGATCGCATTCGCGAAATCGACGACGGCCTTGATAGCCGTAAAATACGAGTGAAACTGCAGTGGGCAGCGACCGGTCGGCAGTGGCACAATGCATGACTCGACCTGCAGTCAATTATCGTTCAAGATTCGCTTAGGACAACAGCAAAAAACAGCACGTAAGGACACAACAACATTGTACACTAGCCATACCAGAACTCGTCTCAGAACTGGTCATATCATCGGCCACAGTTTCTGAACGGCTCGGAATAACCAAATATGGAGAGATTAGCAGTACTAACCGTCCCACACAGTAACATAAATGCATTCGCGATCCTCTCGATAGCGTCAGATTCACTTTCGAATTGCACAACCAGTGCATCGAGCTGCGATTGGGCTGACGTTCTCTGCATTTCCTCAACCATTTTCGCTTTCTCACGTTTCGGCACACGTCCAAAACGAACCGCTAAATATGAAGCGCTTAATCAATTAGTGAAGGTAGAACAGTTATGTGAATATTAATTGTAGTAGGTCATCCTCGAGATGCCATATTTATAGTGTAAAACTGAAATATGAAAAACAATTAATATGTACAGGGCTACATTCTAGTAGATGAGAAGATATTTCGTTGATCAATTTCCATGTTGATTTTTCATTTTGTATGCGACATGTCGCGTCTTCACATATTGCTGGGATCGTAGTATCTTTTCTTTCGTTCAGCGTTACACCCGTCATCAACGTAGGCGTTCAGATCTGCGGGTGGTGACTTTGGCTTCCACACAAATGTCGTTGATTGCACGTCTGGTGTGATTCGCTCTGGAATTCCGAGTCACTAAAGAACCAAGTTGTGAATCAAACAGAACTCATTACATACAGGTGTGGTGCCAATCCGTCGACTCCACAGGGAGAGGGCAGGTTAACCATAAAAGGCGTAAAGCCCACAACTATGTGTATATTGGGAGGTAGCTCCATTGCTCTGCATGCGTCTCTAACCATTTCGTTAACAACATCGAATGAGATGTTTGTGTTCTTCAACTCCCTCGTTACCACTGTTTTTAGATCGACAAAACGGTAACAAATTATGTAAACTTAAAGTGGATCGAATAAATCCACTTCGTCAACCTGCAGACCCCACACTAAGGTTAACCGGTTCATTTCTTTCAAACCAAGGCATCGTAATATCTCCGGTTCGACCTTCCTTGACCACGTTTGCTAACCTTGAGATAGGAGGCCATTTTAACGATACTTCAGCGCATCTAAGCCGTATATCGTAACACAAACCTTCGCTCTGGACCCACTTCTTTAAAGTTAGCCCTAGTTGTGCGCATGGTAATTTCGATCTGATTCACATACATTGGACAAAGCTTTTTGTCTTTCATATCCGCTTACTCATGTTTTAGTGAAAACATTATTGCCCAATTAGGACAGAGTCAAAGTCAGTCAAGTAAAGTCATGTAAAGTGCAAAGATTACAACGCGAAAGTACAATATCTACAAATATTTATAAAACGATACCCGAACGAAGAAATACGTCGCTGGAGAATTGTCTATGGTTATCATCAGCGTGACACTTCGTTCTCGGTTAAACCTCAGAATTCCTTCGATATTTTCGTATAAGGGCACCGATACAAAGTAAATTGTTTCCGCACCACTAATGTGTTGCAAACGATGGTCCTTCATGAAAACACGTAGACAAGCGCCGTTCGTTCGGTCTGTTTTCCCGCTCAAATCATGGGAACTGTTACTACCGAGGCTAGCGCTACTGTCGCCACTGCTCGTGCATTTAAAAATCGAACACAACAAGGTCAGAGCAGAGATAGCTAGCGTGTGCGTTTAGGATTATGGAGGAAAAAAGGGTTAGAAAGCGACGTTCTACAGCAGTTCAACAGATGTTATTAGCATTGTAAATACCACAGAAAAGTGGAAAAACTACTGCTCTAATTGCTCGACCATAGTTAAGAGTTTCCAGTTATTCTCACTTCATTCTCCGAAATACCAAAAAATACCGAGCACCACCAATCACATCGTTACATCACATTAAGAACGTTCGCTTTCCCTAATTGCTACACTCACAACAACAAGTTTCCGGAAAAAAAATTGTGACACTTCTTATCAAAGAGAAAATACGCCGTTCAATTCTTCCAGAAAATTCCCAGAACAGTGTAATTCTCTACCAATAGTGTACGCTTAATCTAAGGTGCATTTTCCAGAGCATACTAACAAAAATAAGAGCGCATTTAGTTCAGTGGTTACAGAAGCTTTGCGCCCCACGCTATGGGGTCACGAAGCCTTCCATCCTTGCGGAGCAGGAAAGTTGGTACCAGATTTGTCTGAGAGAATAACAACACTGACTTGATAGATCGGTAGGCCACCGCAAGTCATTGTATAGGACATATATGCATTCATTCACACCTGACCATGTTTGATAAAGTCGATTGCATAACGCACCCATCAGGAATTGATCAACGCCGAAAGTTTTATGATTTATCACTTATTAACAAAAGCAGTAACATATTCCACCACAAAATCGTCCACATATCTTACTCTGAATATCATAGTATAGTTCGCGGTACAGACCCTCTAGAAACCACGTATCTGACTGCTATAGAGGCCTTAGTGAGCAGATCGCAACCCATTATCATAATCTACACACCACTGCAAGCGAACGCGCCGCATTTCAATTTCGAGTCTGTGTGTCGAGGCCGACCGGGTCGAATTGGAAAATCGTCGTGGCGCGAAAAAGTGGAAGCGAACGAGACAGAGAGCGAACACTTTCGGGAGGGCGTCAAGCGCAGAGAAGACGATTGGAGGCGAAAAAACCCTCGAAAGACCTTCACCGAATACGCGGCCATCGACGAACACCAGCCCCGATCTCCTAACCGTAGAGCATAAATTGAGAACAAGCGCGATACACATAGGCACTGTGAATCAATGCCACACACTCGTCGTCGTCATTTAACCGCTTCATCGGCGATCTGTCGGAATAAACCCGTAGGATCAAAGCAGCCAATTGTAGCCAGTAGAAGAAAGTGAAAATGTACCTTATTACGACGCGCGAGTGAGGCTTCGCAAAAATGAACATTTGGAGGAAATCCTCTCCATAAATTCAGTAATTTCGTTTCTCCTCAACAAACCAAAACATGATACTCTCAAAATATTCAAATAAACTGTATTTACAACCTTGGTTCCATAAAACTGTACAAACAAGTTATAAACTTTCAGAAATACGAGGTTCTTCGAAGTGCCACGGATGTTCGTCAAAAACCTAGCTTTCCGAATTTCACAACTGTTCTCGTAGCAAATGTAAGAAATCGTAAAAGGATAAAGGATAAGCTCTCGGCGTTGATCATTCTCTGAGGGATGCGCCATGCATTCGACTTCATTAAGCATCATTTGGAGGTGACTGAATGGATTTCTGGCCTAGTACAATGACTCGCAGTGGCCTACCGATGTATCGAGCCAGTGATACTATTCTCCTAGACAAGCCTGGTACCAATTTGCCAACCCCGGAAGGATGGAAGGCTTGGTGGGCCATGGCCCATGCGTCCTAAGAAATCGTAGCTTTTGCTGAACGGAAAAATCATAAATCAAAACAGACTGATAAATTTATGGATACCAAGAAGAATAAAAATATAAGGGAACCATTCAAGACAAAGAGCATGAAACCGACTGAACTAACGAATTAATTCATCTACACGTCTACACTACTTATCTAGCATGCCATAAAATCCTTCTATTTCTATTCCGATTCCCTTATGCCTGGAAAATTCCCTAGCACGTGTAACCGCGCTAAAAACAAGCGACTAAGTAATATCTCTTCTTCCTCTAATATTCACAATGGTTTTTACACTACTGTCGTCTAGATCATTCCCATGAATATGATCAAAATCGTAATGTAATGACGTCAAGTCCAGAACTGTACATCCAGAAGGGAAATACCCAAGCAAAGTGAACAGAGTTTTCTGAAGCTTTTCCCGCTGAATAGTTAATATTTTTCTCCTCACACGTTCATTCTGGATATTCATTGGACAGCAGCCAGTCCCATGATAAGCCACATTCACTCATTGAAACCTGGACAGGTTTCGATTGAGGAATCTCTGTCATTTCTACTTTACAATGAGCATAGCGTGGGAAGAGAATTAAAAAAAACTGCAAAGATAGTATTTATAGAAATGGTCTAAATAAAGTTACCTATAAATCTTCGACACAAACTAATACTACTTTGAAAGAGCACTTATTTTTCAATGGATGCTGAGGCGTGCAAAACCTTTTCACTTTACACCCGCACAGCTCTTAAAAATACAAATATTTACAACCACTGTTATCGAAGACCCAGAATTCTTCGCGACACCTTTGCAGTATTCGCGGGTCCTAAAACAGATGCACTCCTGTCCGATGTAATGAATGGACTTTGGCGCGAAAACCCCGCCAGCACACCCATTCACTTCCAGTATGGTAGCAATAAAACCCGGTTCATCACTACACAAAGACTAACACCTTATGGTGCTCTTGTACTTGAACATCAATCACAATCAGGTGACAAATAACGATAGCGGACATAGAGGTCGTTTTCGTACAAACGGTGCAATCTTTTCCAACAACAGGAAACCGAAATCGAACAATTTTTGAAGGGCACCGGTCACAGAACTAGTAGCCGGACGACGGTTTCAAATGCAAGTGCAACTACATCTAAACTAGGACTAAAGTAGTGAAAGGACACCTGTCCTTAATGAGGCGTTATGCTATCAGCAAACACCGCGTTTTCGAATGATTTGTTTTAGAATGTTTCAAAGCAAACCCACATACGAAAAAAACTGCAGTTGATCTTGTTGAGTTATGTTTTCAGCATAATTGGACCAAGAAGGACATCCAGCTTCCAAAACTTTGTTAATGAAATGCTTTGTGAACATTACACAATACAACGGGGATTCTTCCAAGTGAATGAAGTATTGGCAACTGATCCCAGATATAATAAAAAGAAAGATTCGCTTTTACACTAGTATCACAAAGTTGGGCAACTTGCCATATGATTGGGTAACCAACCAACCCCGGTTCCACCTTTAACACCTTTTCGGTGGCCATATGTATTGAATACTATCGCTCGACTTAAGCACTTGTAGAAAACTGTTCCCAACTTTTATACTTTTTCATGTTTAAGAAATAGAACAATATAGAACAAACAGCCATATAAATTAGTAGTGCAAGAAACTTTGAAGGATTTCTAGCAGATCCTAAGGTGATCGAGTTTAAGAAAGCAGCTGAATCCAGTATCGCAACCGTGTTTGACAGCAAAATTCCAGTATTTTAGAGGATTTGCAAATGGATTATTAATAACCTGTCTACCGTGGTCTCTATTGCTACCTTGCAAGGTAATAACTACCAAGTTTTAGGTTAATGCACCTCTATTAGCTTTCTTCTCTTCCCTAAAACGTCATCTAATACCATTCACCTTAATTACTATCAGTCCATAAGAGAAGAAATTCATTAAGTTCCGTTGAAGAACCAAACTGAGCCACGATGATCGCGGCTTATCAAATACTCATTGCTAACCGTTATGCTCTTTATAACGAAAAACAAAAGTCTAAAGCCCTACGATTGAGTACATACCATCTCGTGACATTCCCACCATGATACACTTCTTCAGACGACAGTATTGACAGCGATTACGGTTGTTTCGTACGATCAAACATTCTTGACTTCGTGTGCATGGGCGGTACTGAATTTTTTGCTGGATAGAACGACGAAAGAATCCCTGAAATACGGCATCAGACGTGGTGCAATACATTGATTCCCCGTGGTCTATAAAACATGCTAAATACGAATCATATTTACGTACAAATCATTCAGGTGAATATATTCTTGAGCTGTACATGAGTGTGCTGAGGCAGACTTTGGCTAGGCTAACCTCAGGACCCCAAGGAACCACAACGGCTAAGCCAACAAAAGTCCGAAGAATGGAAGTCTTTCTGGAACCCGCACAACCAGTGAGGACGGACCGTCCAAGTATTCAAGTAAGTATATGAGGTGAACATGACCATGTATAAGATTAAAATGGTCAACAAATATGTCAGTCTTAAAATATGCAGTTTTCCGGCCTTTGATTTTTCGATCTCACACAGCTCTCACTTTCTGCATGTGCGTGACCTTATAACAGAGAGACGATCAACCCCTCTACTTTTCACAATCACAATGTTGTTTCCCAAATATGGAACCGGCCCCACATTTGGCATACAGTGTGCAGTAAATAGAGAGACATCGGACTGGCCTACATAGAGCGCACCATTACCTCGACAGACAGCAACGAACAAAACCGAAGCCAAGCCAACAAAACAACACATAGCCCTACACTGATGAGGGTTATGATGTGCTCGAATTTCCCAGCGAAAAAGCCTTTGATTAGCTAGCTGAAAAGAAGTCCCCACGTCACACTCTGAGTTGCCAACTCTTCACTTTCACTTGTAGCTTTTCGCATCTCAGTAAGAAGCAGCCTCATCAAAAAATTAACCACTAGTGAGAGAGATTCGTTGGAAAGAGTTCCTGAAATAATTTAGGCCACAAGACTGCATAGATTTATAAATAACTCGTTCTTTACGTTTTTCTTGCTAAAGCACCTTTTTATAGGTGGTAAACCGGCAGTAATGGTGTTACTTGGATACTATTCGAAAAGGATGACTATAGGAGGGAAAAATCCGACCTGTGAGCATGATGATAACGGAATTTCTGTCGTAAATCAACGAGAACGATCTTCCTCCTTTACGTTATCAATCGCCAGCGAGCGAGAGAATTTCATTAAGCGAAAACGGCTTGTAACCCAAATATCACACTGCGAAGTCCATGCTGCGTAGCGGCGGCTAACGGCGGCAAACAGCAAACGGAAGCACTTGGTAGAAAAAAGTGAAAAATAACCCGAAGTTACGAAAAAAACCCAAAACCTAGAACACGCGAAGAAAATCGCCACTAGCTAAAAGACCAATCCGCAGAGTTGTTGAAGGCCCACACATCTACTATGTTGAAGTGCAAGCCCATCTACACTACAAGCAAATTATTAGAGAGCTGCTTCTCAATCGGCAACCCTGAAGCTCCTTTATGATAACAAACACCCGCTTTATAAGTTTAGTAATTCCAACTATACTCAACAATAGCCATGCTAGGGTACATCTGGCTAGGTTAAATAATATTTAAAGGTTTTGAGAAACTCTAAAGTTGAGTTCTTCACCACACACTTAATGTTACGATGACAACCACATCCATTTAACTACGCTAGAAATCTGCGAGCAAAACGATTTTTAACGATAACTCGCTGGTGTGTTTTTCGTTTTCGGCACCAAAAACTCTCTGTCGTTGAACAATGGACGTTGGCCATGAGAGAACGATGGATGTGGCATACGAAAACGCCACCGAACCAGTTCTGTGTCGAGGGCAGCGGGACACCGTTACTACTCATGTTGAAAGAGGACATTCACTGCCAAACAAGAACTTAACGCAAACTGACAAACGAACATTTAAGAATTCCAATGTAGCAGTCGGAATTTGATACATGACGATAAACAATCATTACCGAATGCATGTCAAATTTAATATTTTAGATTTTTATTTTTTAGATTTAAAATTTAGAATTACATGACCACAGCGTAGGATAGTGGCTGAATTCAGTACTTTCCCCATGAACCACTCATAAGATGAAAATAATACTACGAGGACGAAACAAAGGTGTTCGCTTGATTCTCTAGAGGAACGTGAACTCACCTTGCATCCTTCACATGCAAACACACCATAATGAAAACCGCTTGCTTTGTCTGAACACACTTGACACAATAACGTCGTAGACGAAAACTCCTCACTTCCAGCTGAAAATAAAACATGGAATTAACGTTTTCATTCCATCAGACTCTACAATGTTTTCAGGCCCATGTGACCATTCTGCTTAACTTGATGATATACTGTAGCACGAGGTGAATACATGAGAGGAAGTGATAAATAACTGTAGAGAAAGAAATGCACATTTCTGAAAACAGAGGTGTAGTTGGGTTTGTTGTTTGTTTATTCTGTCTGACATCAACCGATAACCATTCGAATTCAAAAAATAACAATGTACGTTGTGACCTCGAAGAGATTCTCCAAATGTCTCTGAGTTCGCAAACATCTCGTGATTTGTTCGTTTTGGTGCGCAAGAAAACAAGAGAAAAGCACGTCGGACTTCACTTAGCACTAGGGAAGCGTTTTTATCAATGTAAGCCACTTAAGTCACTTAAGATAAGATAGTATATTATCTTCACCGCATTTTATCCCGAATCCAACAATTACGCATTCACAAGCGACTATACGAAGCCCTTGCTGTTGTAAAGCCTCAAATTTAATCAAAACAGTCGTTGATTGTCTTTAAACCTGCCAATCTACTATGCACTTCCGCAAACTGTGACCTAGTTTATAGTGACAATCCGCGCTACACTAACCATTTCTAACCACAGAAAGCCATCAGTTAGCCATTGTCTAGAATGTAAGCGGACCACGAGATGGGACGTTTTGTAAAGCGATCAATGCCTAGATTTAATCACAAACAACTCAAGCGCACCGTTGACTACCACCCATTACTAATCTTTGTATCGATTTAGCCTAGAAAGGCTTGTCCAACTGGAGCCATGTCGAAAATCGTGTTAACATCACTTTCATCTCGTACTGAATTGTACCCAACGCAAACGACACCGCTGCTGATATCTGTACGCGAAAAATACCTACACCTAAATTCATTTCTAGCATGGCCTTTTCCTAGCATCGTTAGGCCATAAACTTCACTACAATGCCAGTTTAATCTCGGTTTCTGAGAACATCTCTGCCAAGGTGAACATCAGGAATGCGGCCAGACGTAGGGCATTTCCAGTTACGTGAGGTTGACTCAGATGATGAAAGCAGCACAAAATTTTAGTCTCCATGTGCGGTACAAGACCTAATGCAATATTCTTATCGAAGTGAAAGTGCATAAAAAGCGCAGTTTTCAAATTCGAAATTCGTGAATTCACGACCGCTCGTCGAAAAACGGGCGCCAAAACCGCTAATGGAAAACAATGAGAGGTGCGCAGAACCGCCATCACTATCCTCTTCACTATCGCACATCGAATTTAATGTTTAAAACCCAATGCCACTCAAGCAGAAAAAAGAACACTCAATGAAACAAACTCGTGTCACAGGTAATGATGATACATTTCCTCTCAACTCTCAAATACTCCATCTAAATTCCGCTTCCCACCACTGCGATTACGGTGCTACAAAAAATGGGAATGAGTTCTTGGGAAAAAAGACACTGAAGAGATCAAAACTCGCTGAGAGGCATATACCTAACCGCTCAACTATCTAAATTACATAGGCACATTGATGTTTCATTCATAGGCTTTCTCAGGAAGTGATTCTGGAACTTCCTTTCATCAAAGAGTTCTTTGGTCAATAGACATATTTACAGACGAGTACTTCTATCATCTTACCAATTGGTGTATGTAAACCTAATCAATGCGAAAGTTTACAGCAGAAATGAGTGAACCTAGGCGAACATCAACTCTTTCAACTTTTTGCATTTTGCTATTCTCATTCTTAGTCTCTTAGGACTGTTCTAACGAATTGCGCAAACGCTTTTAACATGCTGGATTACACAAATTGAAGCAAGGTCCTTTCTATACTGAACTAGGATCACCAAGTAAACGATGAATTGGTCTTCTCCAATTGCTTTTCGCTTAGAAACGAAAGCCCGTTTTGTGAAAGTGACCATGAAACGAGCGAGGGCATCATGGCGCCGATGACGGAAAAACCGGCGGTTGAGCAGCGCTGTGCGAGAGGATCACGTGCGGAAGTCGGTCAAGTTCAAGTTCGGCGCGACACTGCGTCGAAAAAGTGGAAAATGAACAAAAAGAACAACTCAACAAAGACAACGACGACGTTGATGATGACAGTGATGGTAAATGAGAAACATGTAGACCACGACGACGACCAATGTTCACAAACATTTCCAAGGACACTAACACTAACCTAACATCACATAAAAACGAAAACAAACCACCCTAATAATTCGCGCATATGTGAACGATAGATCTCGGGAAACTACTTCTTGTGTTAACTGCCATAATCTACAAAATCACGGTAATCAGCCTGGAACACTCAAACGAGACGTGATTGGTCCACGACCATCAAAAATATCGCAAATTTACGTTCATGAAATCTCATCGCACCAAGTGTACATAGCAACGTCATTCAAACATTGTCAGCAGTCACTATTATAGTAACAAACTGTTCCATGCTGAACCCCTTGGGCAGAACTACGTTGAAAACTATGTTCTTATTAACTCACAAGCTAATGTATTTATCGGTTTTACAACAACATAACGAAACCCTCCCAACAGAAGCAATTTTGGTTTAAAAAATACAGGACAAGTGGAAACCAGCACTGGAACTTAGTGAACGTCACATGACACAGCGAAGATAGCAAATAAAGAACGATGTTACCGCTGGCAATAATAGGCTTACACCAAAAGCGGTGAATGAATGAGGATTTGGCCTTAATTAGTCACCAACTTTATCCATAATCGACTGTTAATAAATGTCCAAAGAAATACTGCTATTTTATTAAAAAAAGTAAACACACAAGACGAAATAAGCATTTGAATATCGTTACTTGATACTTGAACGGCTCGTCCTCACTGGTTGTGCGGGCGCCAGCATAATCACCATTTTTGGGAGATTTGCTGGTTAAGCCATTATGGTTCCCTGGAATCCCTAGGACAGCCAGACCAAAATCTGCTCCAGGTCTTCACCACCACAGGCAGTCGCAGCCCTTGTGGATCAGAAGGAGATTTGCACCATGCGACTTTGATACCAAGACAGTGGTGGATTCTCAGTATTGATCAGATAATTCAATGTTTTTCATCAATAAGCAGACACGAGGTTGTTAATATAGAATTTATTAGAACACAATTGCTGACGTTTCGGCGGTTTCGCC